CAGCTCGCGTCTCATTGGGGTGGAAGGGAACATCCATGACGATCGTCTCGGCCTAAATGACAAGGACTGTCAAAGGATTTTAACGTCGGTGAATTACATTGTGCACATGGCCGCCACGGTCAACTTTGATGATCGCCTCACTGTTGCTGTGGACACAAACACTTTGGGTGCCCTGCGTGTTCTTGCGATTGCCAAGGAATGTCGAAAGCTGGAGGCCATGGTTCACGTTTCTACCTGCTATGTGAACTATAATCTTCGAGGGAGCACAGTGGAGGAGCGTCTGTATCCGCTGCCGTTTGATCCAGAGGCTATGTGTAAACATATTCTTGCCCTGAATGAGAATGAGGTGGATGATGTATCTTCACGGCTGTTAAAAAGGTACGGCTTCCCCAACACGTATACTTTTACTAAATCTATGGGGGAGCAGCTGGTGTATGCGAGAAGAGGCAATTGTCCCGTGTCGATTGTTCGCCCATCCATTGTGGGCTGTAGCTACAAGGAACCGTTCCCAGGCTGGGTGGACGCCCTCACGGCTGCGGGCGGTCTCTTGTTGACGGTGGGGATGGGTGTGGTGCGTGACGTATGCGGCCGCGCGGATGCCGTTTCCGATATTGTTCCCGTGGACTTTGTGGTCAATACGATCATCAAGGTCCTTTTCAAGACCCAGTACCACTACAAGGGCCAGGAAGTGAAGGTGACGAACACGGAGCAGCCACAACGACGGCATGTGGGCGGGGCGCTTCTCAACGCCTTGGCAAAGGCAGAGCTGCCAAAAAAGAATGGCGCAGGCGGCGTGGAGGGCGTTGCCCCATTGGCAGTCATTGCGACCCAACAAAGGCAACAGCAAGAACAACAACAACAACAACAACAACAACAACAACAACAAACTCAATCCCAGCCGCAGCGGGAACAGGATGGGACGGTTTCGGTTCCCGCAACATGCCTGACCCCATCGGAGGCACCGGGGGCTTCTCTTCCGTTTGTTTATCACGCCGCGACTTCTTCGTCGCTAAACTGCGTGACATGGAGGCGTCTTCGCGATGCCACACGGCTTTATTGGAATGGGAAGAAAAAACACCCCAAGGCGTTGTCTCCCATGACGGGGGAGATTATTGAGTCCAACATTAAGTACATGGTGCGCTTCATTCTGTTCCGTGAACTGCCGTATTACGTGCTTCGTTTCGTGGCAAATCTTCCAAACCCCATTGGATCAGAAGAAAAACAAAAGCTCGTTGAGAGACTTGGACGGGCTGTGTTTCGCTCAAAGGATCTCAACCGCCAGTTCCGTGCCTTTGTCCTACATGAGTGGGTTTTTGCCACAGCACACACAGAATTGCTGGATGATGGTCTGAACGAGCGCTCTCGCTCTGCCTTTTACTTTGATACGTACATGATCAACTGGTGGTTTTACGCCCAGGTGTACGCACATGGCCTTCTCAAATACATTGTCAGGGACGTGGGTGGTTTTGAGTTTCCGGAGCAGCCAAGCATCCCAACCGAAGTTTTCAAGAGGGCTTCCTCACTGTAGAAATGTTTGCGTTTTCAATTCTTTTTAGCCTATTTCTTTGGTTTGGACGCATGCATGGATATTTTTCACACTGCTGTTTGTCTATCGCATGGTTTTTTTCTGTGTCATGCCGCTCGGCCTCTCCCATACCCCGCTTATCAGCATTCACCTGCGCCAACCGATATATAAATATATATATATATTTAAAAATTAATAAGGGGTTTAAACAATGAACGTGTCTTGTAGCAAAATTGCCACGTTTTCATCATCTTTTTTTGCATGTGCGTCTACCGTCCAGTGATCCTCACTGACGCGGAGGGAGGTGAGTGCGCGTGCCATCGGCTTCTCCATTAGGAAACCCATAAAGAGCATCCGCGCAAAAAACAAAACAAAACGAGACAACAAAAACAACAACAAAAAAGAAAAGGAAAACGAAAATCTGGAAGAAGAAACAACCAGTCTGCGCCCATTACTTTTTGTATGCTTTTTTGTGTGTAAAAAAAAAAAAAAAAAAAATTCTGGGAGGAAGAATGTGCGGCCAGAGACGGGGAGGGGGCGAGTAAACGATGGCGTGCGTGTTTTGTTGGTGGACCCCTTTCGCTGCGGTTTTTCTGGCTGCCTGGTTTCTAATTCGTGTGATGATACCGCTCTGCAAGGCGACGGGTGAAAAGAAAAAAAAATTATTACTATTTTTTTTTGTTCCGTTTCTCTCTTACTTTCACCCATCCACTTAAAAAACTCCCATGCGACGGCTGCTGTTGCCTTCCGGGCGGTTGCGGGGACGTCAACGGCTCTCGACTCCCCGCATCGGAGGGGATGCGTTGGCTGCGATCGACCGAACCGCGGGCTTCTCGTGTTGACCGTTTTTTATTTTTATTTTTATTTATTTTTTCTCTTTTCCCTTTTGTCGGAGCTGAGTAGGTGAAAGTTCCATTAAGTCGCATGTTAGTTTTCATTTCCGGCCGCCCAACCCGGTGCGCAGACGGATTTCAGTAAAAGGGATTGTGTTGTCGTTGGCGATTCCGCGATGCGAACGGTGTGACTGCAGAGATTTGCTGCAAAGCGTACGTGAGAGAAAAAAAGAAAAAATGGTTTCTGCGAAAAAAAAAAAATTGCTGGGGGTGGGGTTCGAACCCACGAAGCTTACGCATGAGAACTTAAGTCTCACCCCTTTGACCAACTCGGGAACCCCAGCAACGTCGGAAAACATCGAGAGAGAAGGCAGAATTCCTCTAAAAAATATAATAAAAAATTGCTCCCACCTGGACTCGAACCAGGGTTATCGGATTCAGAGTCCGAGGTGATAACCGCTACACTATGGGAGCTACGTCGACAAGCAGAAAAAAGAATGAAAGGCTGCTTGAATTTTTTCTATACACAAAAAGCGGCATCTTTCCCGCACGTGAGCATCAAGGCTCTCATAGCTCAGTCGGTTAGAGCGTGGGTCTAATAAGCCCAAGGTCACAGGTTCGACCCCTGTTGGGAGCACTTTTTTGTCCAAATTTCTGCGTGCAATTTTCACCTTCCAGCATGCGGTTTTCAGCATCACAAAAGTGATGGACGGAACCGACGCCGCACAGCAGTAATAATAGCATTGTGCAATTGCTGCACTATTCCTCTCTTCGCTCTTGAAAAACGGGCAATGAGTGTGTTTGTTTTCTTGTGTCTGCGGTGTGTGGCTTAACGGACAGTTGTGTGCTGGAGGATTGAACTTATGCGAGCCTGCGTTGTGGCGAGGTCGTCTGGAGGGAGGAGACGAGTCCCAGCATCGCATGCACCCACGTGCGTCTTTTGGTGCGGGCAGGGCGTTGGGAAGTCGCTGTGACCCAATGGGTGCGGGGGTGTCCGTGACTGCTGTGCTGAGGGCGGGGACGAGCGCGCTCGCTGCGGCGTTCCACGCAGACGGGACTCTCCTGTGTTTTACTATTATTCATTTTAGCTGCGGGGGAATGGCCGGGCCCTACGAGTGGGCGGCAAAACTGCCCAGCCGTGTCCTTTTTGTTCAGCTTGTTGGTGCGGAGGTCGCGCGCAGGGTGAGTTGTGGAGGCTCGCCCGACGCGATCCTCCCCGCCCCACGCGGGAGGCGAGCGAAAGGCGCACTCGGCACCTTCTTTTCGTCAGCCATGAATGATCGTGGGAGTGGGGAGTCACGCTGGACTCGCCGTGGGCCACGGAATGCATCCGTCGCGGCAATGGCAACAACATGGCGAGGGTGCGAGGTGTTTGTGTTTTTTTTTTTTTTGATCTTGTGCTGGAGGAAATTAAGTCGCAGACTTTTCTTTGCTTTTCTCTCCTGTGCCCTTTTCTCACTCCGTGTGCGTGCCACTGCGTAGATGGGGTGTTGGTACTTTTCAGGGCCTGTGAGAAGAATGTTATCGAGAGGGCTGGCTGCCCAATTTAATATATGTCCTGGTAGAAGGACGAAATTATTTCTCTGTGATCCTTTTCCTACCTAATGGTCCTTTGGAAGGTCCCGAAGGAAGGAGTTGAGGAACCGATAGCGGCAGAACGAATTTTATTTTTATTTTTATTTTTGCCATCCACCCTCTTTGATTTGGACCCTGCGGCGGGGTGTTGTGGCTGGAGGAGCCCAAAGCCCTCCATTTCGTAGGTAATAAATATCTCCAACCCGAATACACTGCACCGTGGCACGAGAGTGCCTGTCAGAATACAAAAATATATTTGGGAAAAACATTGAGGATGTGGCGGGGCCGCTGCCTTTTCATGACCCTCTTCTTTGCCGTCCTATTTTATTTTTACGGATCAGTTGAGGATCTGGCCAGCAGCCCCGGCGAACATTTTTCCGTGCCTCGGCGTTATTTGCTCTGTTTATTTTGTTGTTGTCTGTGTGTGCGTTGCGGTAATATGTGGTGCTGCACCTTTCTCCCTCTTGTGACCGCAGCGTCTCTTTGCCTCTTTGCCTCTCTGCTCTTCTCTTCTCCTCTTCCTTCTGTTTCTCCTGCGGACAAGGACTCTTCTACCACTACTAATACCACTGCTGCCCGCGCCTCCGGAACAGACACATTGTCCCCAAGCCATGCGCCAGCCACGCCGCACCGCGCTGCTGCTGCCGCCGTGGCTCATGATGGTGGTGTGTTGCGTTGGTGTTTGCGTTGCCGCCGATCCCGCCGTGAAGCACCGCTGTGGGTTTGACGCGATGATGAAGAAATACGGCCGGCTGCCGACTGCGGTGGTGCGTGAGGTGCCGCGCCGGGGACAGGGCGCCATGCAGGCGTACACCGCCGCCGGCGAGGATGGGGACGATGGCTGGGCTCCGATCCGCATCAAGGTGTCCGCGGAGGACATGTTTGACCCGTTGAGGCACTGCACTGCGGCGGGGGATCTGCGCATTGACCACGGTGGCCGCGCAATAACATGCGAGGCGGACGACGTGTTGACGGAGGAGAGGAGGAGCATTGTTTTGAGGCAAATTCTCCCCGCCGCAATTCAACTGCACTCGGAGCGTCTCTCCGTG